TTTTGATCGCAGTTGATGTCACCGTAGTTGTTGCTGAGCCGCGGAGGCTCTATGCTCTTCCCAAAGCACCGGAAGGCAGCCCCGAGGCAGAGCAACGACAGTCGAAATCATGGTTCACGTGTTTGTTCCATTTAATTAAGTCCTATTAGCATTGTCTGCTTATAATTACATCCTCGAGCATGTGCTCTTTGTGTGAAGCAAACGTTCGATACTGATGCTCCAACTGCATGCAGGCGGACCTTTGCTTCTGCTCGTCGGATTGTTTGGAGCAGCATGTTAGTCTGCCGGCGCCGTGGGCTCAGTATTCAGTATTCGCAGTCTAGTCTCTTCCACTTCTGCTACTTCTGCTGGCATCGCATCTCCCGAGCTGCCGAGGGAGAAGACTCCGCTTCTGCTTGCAGCAGCGAAGACGATTGCAAATGCGATGCTCCAACCCAAAGGCTGCGAGAGAGTTCTAGAAGATTTCGGTAATGCATGATGCTAGCATGAACAGGTGCGCTTCCCACCTACAAGCTCTGCAACAAAAGAGCTTTCATGTCCTCGTGCACTTCTCAGAGATGTCGCTTTTTATGCCCGACCTTCGTTTCGGTTCGTATCAAGAGCATGGAATCCTTGCGTACTCGGTGTCCTCCCCGCCCTCTCGAGTGGTACGCGCACGCCTGCAAAGCCCCAGGCTCGGCCCTGTTTTGCGTTCTGCCCCCAGAAGGGCCAGGCAGGGTGACGGCACAGCTTTGTCGTGGCTTCAAATTCCAGCTCGAAGGCCATTCGATAGAGGTTTGGCGCAGGTTCACCGCCGGCTCGCATGCGCCTGAGTCAAGGGAACTCTGCTCATGTTCAATTTGTGCTGCCACGTAGCCTCAGTTGCCGAGTTGTACAGAAACTGAAGCAACCTGGATAATCTCGAGTCTGAAAAGCACCTGCTAGTTGTACATAAATGTAGCATTATGTCGTGCGATGAGATTCGCTTCAGATGTTGTTCTTGATACAGATCCTTCTTCCATTGATTTGTGTCAGGTTCGCTCGCTGGCAAAAAACCTTGGAAATCCGAAGGTCTGGCTATGATTTGCTTTTCGAGTGCCCTGCGGAACTCGCGCGCTGGCGGGTGGTTTCCATCAAGATCAGAGCTCGTCAGGCTGCGGCCAAAGCTCAGGTAGAGGCGCTTCTACCGTGCTGTCCTCGGCTCTTCGTGCCGTGCTCCAAACTGTAAGAAGTAAGAAGTGACTGGGCAGGGCAGGGCCTCAGGCTCTACAGATCTCTACAGAGTTCCAAGCGACGCAGATTACCAAAACAATAGTTAGAATGGCAGTGACAGTAGTAACAATAGTCATGGGAATTGCAGTAGTCGCAGTAGTAGCAGTAGTAGGCGTAGGAGTCATCATCATAAGCCCTATGGCGATCCGAGGTTCGCTCTTTTCCAGCGTGTCGTTGGGGCATTGGATGCCAGGCGGGGTAAGGCAAGGCCATGAGGCCGTCACCGTGTCCCTTTGTGCAGGTCGTGGGGCCTCAGCACCAGCCTTAGATGGTTTGCGCTCAGGCTTCCACGGGTTAAGGCCCATAGTAGTTTTACGATGTATGGATAGTTAGTGTTTGGTATAACATATAGACCTTGATGCAGACAAAGGCCTACAGATATGCCTGCATAGGTATAAATAACACATGCACATGTATAGGTATAGGTAATGAAAGCGAGATACATAGACGGAAAGATAAATGGACACATAGACAGCCAGATAGATAGACAGATAGATAGATAGACAAATATAGTGTGATCCGAAGCCCAGAGGTGGCGCTACACTGCCTTCGCCTTTGGGACAGTTCTGCGAGACTGCTTGCAGGCCTGCAACTTCTGCAAGGGCGCTTGGACCAGATTTAAAAAATTACAAGTGAAGTCCAGTCATACTGACTCGATCCTTTGTCTCAGGTGTTCGCAGGAAGCCCGGGTTGTTTGTTGGGAGTTCTCTCGTGCCACAAACTCATGTGTCCCAGGCTCTGGTCTGTTCCGTGCGTGTCTTGACATTGTTTCGTCTCAAGTGTCAGGTGGCTCCTTGCGCACTCTGGGAGTCTATTGAAGCGGTTGGGCGGTCTCATTGTTCAATTTTGCCGTGTTCTGCGTAGATCATTGCTGAAGAACGAACGTTCGATTTCCTGTGTTTCTCCAGAACCTTAAAAGGAGTGGGGGTTGTGCCAGTGTGAGTTGCGAAATGGAGTGAGGGGTGGCAGAACTCCACAATTCTCGAAAGAACTCGACCGCCCAAGGGGGGCAGACAGCGGCATGGGCCTACACTTACACCAAGAAAGCAGTGTTGAAAGGACGTCGGCAAAACCTTATTTACTCTTGAACCGGCTGCAACAAGTCCTGTGTTTTGATGAGCAAGAAGTCACCTGGCGCGTCGAATAAACCAAGGGGATGGGGTGCAGCATCGCATTCCCTGTCTTGCCGTGCTTCAAATCTGCACTTTGAGGGCTGAGAGGGATAGATATGGAGCCCACAAAGGGACTGTGGAGTTTGTGAGCGCTTGCGTTTCGAAGTCCTTCCATTGGGCTCGTTGGGACTCCAAAGTCGACCCTCCTGCACACTTGATCCTCGGTGGCCGCAGAAGCTCATGGCTAAGCGCCAGGACGGCAAGAAGCCCGGTGCGATCTTCTGGAAGGGCAAACGTCGCCTGCAAGTCCGGAAGAGGGGTGATGGGAGAAAGGTGGCCGTAGATCGCACCGGGAGGCGCGGGGCACCGTCTGGTCCACTACCCAGACAAGATCCCCGCCGTCGTCAAGGAGAATATCTACTCTCGCGCGGGGTTCAACCAAGTGGTATGGTGCTTCCATCGCTTTCCTGGCATGAAAGCAGTCAGTGTCAGGAAAGCCACGGAAGCCATCCCCGGCCTAGAAACTCCGAGAAGCTCCGATTCGGGAAGCTCCAAATCGAAGCTCCGATTTGGAGCTGGCAGCTCCGATTTGGAGCTTCCGATTTTGAGGTGTTAAACGGCGGAGAGCAGCTCCAATTCGGAGCTTCTAGTAGCTCAGTTCGGCTGGGCTAGCCTTTAAAACACTTTGAAAACTACCTGCAAACCCACGAGCAAATGCAGTGCCAA